GAGGTTTGGGGTCTTCATAGAACCATAGAATCACAGAGTGGTTTGGGTTGGAAGGGACCCCTAGAGGCCATCTAGCCCAACCCCCCCGCAGGAGCAGGGACACTGCTAACTGGATCAGGTTGCTCAGAGCCCCGTCCAACCTGGCCTTGAATGTGTCCAGGGATGGGGCCTCCACCACCTCTCTGGGCAACCCCTGGCCCCCTTTAGGTACTGAAAGGCCGCAATCAGGTCTCCCCGCAGCCTTCTCTTCTCCAGGCGGAACAAGCCCAACTCTCTCAGCCTGTCCTCACAGGAGAGGTGCTCCAGCCCTAGGATCGTTTTTGTGGCCTTCCTCTGGACCAGCTCCAACAGTTCCATGTCCTTCTCCCTGTGAACTGCCATGCATCTTATCACCGTAACTCCCGCCGGATGAGAGCCGCGAGGAACGTGGGGGCCTGGGTCAGCCCGGCCAGCTCCAGGCACTTAGCTGGGTGGCGTAGCGGGGAAGGCAGCACAGGCCCCTGTGAACTGCCATGCATCTTATCACCGTAACTCCCGCCGGATGAGAGCCGCGAGGAACGTGGGGGCCTGGGTCAGCCCGGCCAGCTCCAGGCACTTAGCTGGGTGGCGTAGCGGGGAAGGCAGCACAGGCATCCCTGTGTTACAGGGGAGGGGGTGGAGGAGGGTGAGAAGGGGCTTTGGTGGGCAACCAACCCACCTGAGTTCGGTACTGCCTCCAGAGTGCGTTGCTTGCCACCAAGTTTGAAGGCAGTCTAAGGTGAAAGCAATCATCTCGCCTAGAATCAATCCAGTCCCAGCTGTGTAAAAGCCCAGGAAGTTAATGGGCTGCTGTCTCCAAAGTGATGTGTCTGTGGATACCTGTGTATACATACAGTCCACATACATGCTCCAAGCCAAAACAGGGACTGATAATGACTTGCGGTTGCATGGGTAAAATTAATTGCTCCTTCACATAGTTTCTGATGTTGTCCAATATTTTCATAAACAAGAGTTTAAAGAAATACCCCTTTTTTTTGAGATAACACAAGAAAAAAGAGATGAAGTTCATCTGTCAACATTGTCAGATGTTAGCGTGGTAACAGATACAGAGCCCAGGCCACTTGATCGCTTTGTAATTCGATGCTCTTTCTTACCTAAGCTGCTAAGGATTCGCTTTCTTCATCTGAAACCTCAGAAGTACTTGTTTTGCAACTGAAATCCTATTTCAAGGACTATTGGAAAGTGTGCCAACAGCAGGGTGCTTCTGCATTTTCAAAATGACTGCCATGTCATCCTTCTCATTACAGTGTACTCCAGGTTAATCAGCTCTGCGACAGAATCCTTTATGCTCCCAAGCTGCCCTCATACATTTTTACTTGGAACCAATTTGAAATGCAATTTAGCCACTACCAGCTCCTAAAGCCAAGTCCAGCTACTCTAAACTTGATGACCTTTCCCTGATGTTCATCTCCGTTCACTTGCACTTCCCATTTCCCCAGAATATCCTAGAGAAGCTTATTTGGTCTTCAGGGTGGCTTGGGGATCTGCCTTTCTTTTTCAATGCTGTTGCTACAGACAGACATTTCTTTCTCAATGCTGCATTTTTATCTGTGCATTTTTGGACAGAAATATTTCATTTTAGTTTGTTTGCTTTTCCCTGCAGCACTTCTAGCAGTCTTTATTCTTGCCATATATTGCCAAAAGCAGAAGTTAGTCAGCTTGAAAAAGGACATAAGGAACGTCTCTGGTCAAGTGTTTGAATGAGTCATCTGCAGAGGAGTTGAGGTTAACGGAGGTGGGACATCAGCCGTTCTCATTTTTTGATCACTGTTTTTGGAACCTGCACCGGCTGTGGAGGAAGGTCTGCGGACTGCTTGACGTCTGCCAGAAAACAAAATAGAGAGGGAGGCCCAGTGTCAGGGAGGCCCAGTGTCAGGTTTGAACTTGCTGTGCAGTAGTCAGCCCCTCTACTGGAAAACTGGTCAGTGTCGAGAATTGAAAAATGATAGATGCTTGGATAGCTACTAATCAATATCTAAGTTGCATCAAGCAACAATATTGTGGCAAGGCATTGGTAAGTAAGGAACATAAGGCTGTCAGCAGAGAATGATGTTGATCTTACATGGTGTGGATCATTCACTTACTAAGCCTTTTCTAGTGGTGTAGAGACTGCACAAACTCCAGTCTCTATGTCATTGTCAGCAGAAATATTACCAGGGTGCTTGTTAGCTTGCTTTCCTCATGAAATAAGTCTTACGCAACCACGTTGGCTGTCAGCCTCACTGCTTAATAACTTGTTGGCCAACATCAATCAAACTCGATAGCAGGGTAAGGTATAAACAAAGTTACAGCTTCTGTCAAAGCTGGTATATAGACAGCCCAGAGATCCAAACTGGTGCCATCACTGAGGGAAACGTAGTCCATATCCAGCCCTTAGGCATTTTGTTTGACAGAGCTTCCGGCCAACCAACCCGTGTGCAGTGCCAGGTTTCACTATGGTACACCTCCTGGCCCTGAAGAGCCATGGATGCAGAACAGGTGCTTATGGAGAAGAACGTGGGAAACACCCACAAGATCTAGGAGCCGGTACTACAACACAAACTGTTCCCCAATGTCAAGGCAGAACATTTAACATGGAAGACAAAGAACAGGCTGGGAATTTTTACCAGGAAAGAACTTCCACAAAATGTGACTCCATTTTTTCCTGTAGCCTTTTGCTGCATGTTATCTGACTTCACTGGGTTATTTTCTTTCTGAAGAAAGTAGCCAGGCATAGATAACCAAGGCTATAAGTACAGAGTCCTCTCTCCCTAAAGCACCTGCCAAAGATCATAAACCTACAAAGAGATCTGCCTGCAAAACAAATCGATGCACTCAAGTTGCCCAAAAGGTGTGTAATATTTTTCAGAGATGCACGGCACAAAGAAAGGAAGAAAGAAGCTGCAGCAGATCAAGGGAGTTAAATGAGAAATCCAGGTTCAGGTCAAGGAACACAGGGGAATCTAAAATACAGAACTGGGAAAACAGGACAGACAAGAGCAGGCAGGAAGGTGGCTTGTGGTGGCTGCTAAAGAGAGCTGGAAGTGCCAGACTCAGGAAGCACCCGCAAGTCAGCCATCAGCCCGCATTCTCACATTCGCTTTCCCTCAGGAAATGTTGGGCTAGATGACAGGGCGTCACATTTAGGAAAATTGCTCTTTAAATACACATGATGTATGTCTGGATGAGGTATCCGAATGTTTAAGTTAAGCTGAATTGAATTGGAAAGTTTCAAGTTAAACTGGAAGGTTTTGGTAAGATTGAAGAGCCCCTATCTGTATCCCAGATTCCTGTGTGACTTTTGTCATTCCACAGAAGCTGCTACACCATTTGTTCCAAGGACGCTGAATTGCCAAGATCCAGATTTTAAAGACATCTTCTGAACACAGAGGCACCACAGAGGAAATCTGTTACTTTGCTACAGCCTGATGATGTCTTCAACGCTGGGTCATCTTCCAGGAAGAAATTTTTGCAACCCCTGCCCTGTGGGCACAGATGCATTATTCAGGGGGTGATGTGAACCCAACAGCTGGCATCAAACCAACAACTGGTTGAGACTGGATGCTCAGCCAAATTCTATAACCAGCTATCAAAAAGCAATCAAATGCAGCTACTTTGCTATGAAGAACTGGTTACCATGCTGACTAATAAACTAACTGCTTACCTGTTTGATTCAGCACATAAAAAATCCCAGGAAGAGAAAATTGAGGAAATAAAATTAAAAAACGAGAACCTGAGAAAAAGAGAGTCACGATCACCTGGCCTGTCTATCTCTCCCATAGCTTCTGAACCTCTGAAGCCATTTTCAGATGAATTTGGAAGAGTAAAAAAACTTCAGAGATCATTACATTCCCTGTAGGTCTAGGGGGCAAGGGGATGAGTGGAGACCAGCAGCTGGATAAAGGACAACAAAACCAATGCTCCCACAAGCAGACAGGCAGGACTAAGCAGAAAACCCCACTGTAGTATGGCTGCTTGAGGTTACTTGGGGAAGGCTGATACAGTAGAGGACAAAGACAGGCTTTGTTATTTCCGCTGCTTGTGGAACAATTCATTTTTAATTGCTATACCAGAATAATTTGGCCAAAGAGTTCTAGTCTATGCCAACTAAGAAAAACTGCGTATCTCAGCACTTTTAATTGATTAACATTACTTTGTAAGGCAGAACCATTTCAGTCATCTTCAGGGTAACACCACTGCTTTTAACCTGTTGTTTAAAACCACTGAACCAGGGCGTTGGTGTTCAGAAGGGGAAGGCAGTACACATTCACTGCTCGAGATCAGTTACTGCATCCTACTGCCAACTGTCTGCGTGGATAAAGCCGCTGCCCTTGTCCTTTCTGTGAGGCACATACACCTTTTTGTTTTAAAAGTCTAAAGATGGATCCGATCAGCTTCCATATGCACAGAAAGTGAATTACAAGGTGAATGGTATAATTAACACTAAAGAACAAACCGCACAAATAAACTGAAGTGCCACATTCTCACAAAGGCTAAGAAATTAATATTTAATATGCATCAAAGATTTTATTTGCATTAACTGAAGATTCAAATATTAAAATAAGTCTACATTAAATTACAATATTAAATATGTTTTAAATACAATAAACTAAATGTGTTTAGTTTCTAAACACAAAGAGAACAAAAATAATTCAGGATGCAACACAATTAATGACACCAGATGACAGAACAAGGACTTTAATATGTAAATCCACAAGATGTCAACTCGTAGCAATGTTTACTTTAAGAAGAGGTTGTGGCCTTTTAAACTGATGCACAAAACCCATGTGACATAAACTTAGTAAGGTATCTCTCCAGAAAATATTGCTCAGTTAAACTCTCATTTATCCCATGATCAAAACTCCTTTGGTAGCTCTTTTTCAGAATGAAACACACCAGTATGCAAATCCGGAAAATAAACCGAGTCTTGTAAATATTACCACAAAAGGTGTCTTCCTTATAGTTACAATTATCTAACAGATCTACAGTGTCTTTCATTCTTTAATTCAAATCAACTTACATATATACAATATGTAACAAAGTACTCACAAAATCCTTAATCTTTCAAGACAAAAAACTGCTTTCACAATATCGAGACCATAAAAGTCTTTTTTAAAAAAGTTTTTGTTTTTTAAAGTGGAACACGCTGTACAGTAGATTCCCTGTATGTTATTTTAAAGGCAAAACTAAATGTTACGGTAATTACATAAACAGTGATAAACACCAGTTGCCCTAAAATGAGGTAGGGCCTCTTTGACTCAGATCTAATCTTTGCCACCCAAGCCAGCCAGAAGTAGTAATAAAATAATAATCCAAATCTTAGCTAAATAATCCAACAACTCACTACACACATGAACATAGTTGTCCTCTTGGCACTTCAAGGATCTCACTTCAAAACCTGATTTATCCAAACCAGACTGAAGTTTATAATCATTTGAAAGAAAATTAATTGAACACAAGTTTAAGGGTTTTTATGGTGCATAATTTCAAAAATTCAGTGTATTTCAACAACACTGCTTGTATGTAACTGTTCATCAATTAAGGGTTTTTAAAAATTACCCAAGTTGTCACTGTAGCTAAAGAATGCAGCATATAGGGTCTTTATGGGTGCAGTTAGAAACACATAAATGAAGAAACCAGACTTGCATCCACCACAGAAGTATTTCTCAGACAGGTAGTTTTACCTTTCCATCCAACTTCAATGACAGTGTTAAACAAACCTGTAAAACTAAGTTTTGAAGAACCCAAAAGAACAAAAGAAGAACTAAAAGAAATAAAAAATATGATGTTTAAAATTAGCAAGGAGTCTTGACAAGGATGATGGATTAACATTTCATTTTGCTTCTCTTCCACAGCAGTGCATGCAGCTGGTTGAATAATATACATCAACCTGAAATCTGCTAAAAGGAAAGTCTGGAACAGCATAGGTATTCGGTGTCCTGAAGATATATGTGGATGATTTCAGGTTTTATTTTGGGGTTTTTTTTGTTGGGATTATTTTTTGGTTGTTTTTTGTTTGTTTGTAAGTAAAAGCATTTTCTCTCCATTATGCAACATAGTGGTACTGATTGGGGTTGTCTTTATCTCTCTCCATATAGTCTCTGTCAATGAGAGATTCAATCCTCTTTTTCAAGTCTCCAGGCTACAAGAAAAGATGTGATTAGTGAAACAGTTAAAAATATATTTGCATTTATATTACATTTAAAAAAATAGGACTGCTAACAGCTACATAAGAAAATGCACCACAGTAAAGACCTAATATAATTTCCTACTGATACACTGACTTATTTCTGTTCACACTCATTTTAATACCTTAATCTTTGGATTTCATTCAGACATATTTCACATTTCTTACTCTTATGGTCCAGCTGAATGGAAAAATATATTACACATTTTTTAGATAATTCTAGGATGGTTTGAAAAACAAAATCAGTTACCTTTACAGGAAATTTCAGTTGATTATACAGTTCAGAAACAAGGAGATTATGACCAAGAGTCTTTCTCATCTTCATTATTCGTACAATAGCAGCATCAATCTGATATTGCCTGTCTTGAAAAACTCTTTCAGTTGTGCTGACCTGTTCCTCGACCTAAAGAGCAATACAACACCACAAATCATACCACCTTCTTTGCTATTTTTTAATCAATTATATTTCTATAGTTAACCTTTCCGATGAAGTGCAACTCATGTATTCTTACTCATCTTTGAGACAGATGCATGCATTACTGCATGCTAACAAACAAGTGATTCTGAGCTGGTGAGGAGTCTGGAGCACAAGTCTGATGAGGAGCGGCTGAGGGAACTGGGGTTGTTCAGCCTGGAGAAGAGGAGGCTGAGGGGAGACCTTATTGCCCTCTACAACTGCCTGACAGGAGGGTGTAGTGAGGTGGGGGTCGGCCTCTTCTCCCTGGTAACGGGTGATAGGACGAGGGGAAATGGCCTCAAGTTGCGCCGGGGGAGGTTTAGGTTAGACATTAGGAAAAAAATTTTCACCGAAAGGGTTGCCAGGCATGGGAGCAGGCTGCCCAGGGAAGTGGTTGAGTCCCCATCCCTGGAGGTATTTAAAAGCCGGGCAGAGGAGGTTCTTAGGGCCATGGTTTAGTGGTGGGATGGCAGGGTTAGGTTAACAGTTGGACTTGATGATCTTAAAGGTCTTTTCCAACCTAAATGATTCTATGATTCTATGACTCTTAAGTGTACTGCTGAAGCAAGCCAAAGATAAAATTAAGGATAACAAAGAAAAAAAATAACGTATGCCTCGTGTTAAATCTATTCCATACATCAAACTAAATCTTAAAAGTTCACTTCAGATTTTTGAGAGAACATGGAACAGTTTGACAGCCCAAATACAGCAGTCTTCTGTATCAAACTGCTCAACTCCAATCTGACTTTTAGGGATTTTAATACACAAAGCAAAAAGGAAACAACTCACTCTTAATTAAAACATGTCACCTTGTGTCAAGAATTGGGATTCAAGTACAACAAAGACATCCACTGCAAAAACAGGGACAACCCTGACTTTAATAATTCTCTTACCCACTAAATAAAGAAAAGAAGTGACACGGTGACATTTGATTCATGAGTTCAATATGGTACCAACACTTCAGCCATACCATGAAAACTTCTGAGATGGACTGAAACATCTACAAGATGCTATCAGTTTAGTATATAGACATTTAAATGTGCAAGCACAGGCAAGAACCTGTTTCGATTTCAGGGAGTTTTAAAACCTTTATTGCCTCTGCGAGTCATCCTGACTACCAAAAAAATTAAGTATCCGTTTCCTTTCTCCATAGGCAGGAACTAGGAAAGGAAATGCAGAGATTCTGTCTCTCTCTGTGGGACGTGTGGATAAACAGTTAACACAAACAGAATTAATGCAAAAAATAAATACATACTGTTTCTTTCATTTGGATTTGGTTGATCTTTATTCTAAACAATTTATGCTTGAAATCACCATTAAAGATGAATTTATCTCCATCTTCTACATCCTTGCCCTTGGGATTTTTAATCAATACTCGTGCTTTTCCACAAGCTAAAGACTGCAAGGTTCTTCTTAATTCACTGTCCTCTGTGAAGAAGTTCAAAGTATGGGAGAAAGCAGAACAAAACATTAACATGAAGAGTTTCATGTGATTAATCTAGAAATACAATTGAAAAGTCACTGGTTTTATGTTAGTGCCTTCTTCCAGCTAAGTTCCAGTTCGGGAACAAATTACAGCCCTTGAGCTTCATCTCACACCTTTCACAGGTAGAGTGCTGAGAGCATGCACAGAATTGCACAAGCCAGGGTGACAGACTCAGGCTCATCTCTGTGAGCTTTCCATCCCAAAGCAGCTTCAGAAAAGATTCCACATTAACATCAGCCTGGTTTTATTGCTTTAGTTTTGTTTGGTAGTAACAGGACTTTAGAAGAAAAAAAAAAAAAAAAAAATCAGTTGATGACAAGAAGCTCAAGCCACCCATTTTATGGTTTCATTGCTATTTTTCAAACACACCAGAAAATAAATAATAAAAAGAAATCTTAAGTTCATAGGAAGATTTGTGAGAAGGCAGAGCTGACAGTTATTATAGTCACAAACTTCTCCCACAACATGAAAATAGTAGAAACAAGTGGGTGAGGAAAATTACATCTAGTAAGATTTAAAGCTAAAAGCATTTGAACAAGTAGATAAAATGAAGTCTCAAACATTCTAATAATTATGTTGCAAAGTCTCGTATCAAGATTTTGCATTAGAACAGCCCCTGAAGTCTCTAGAATACTTTTATTCACAATATAAAATTATCACCATATGTATGGGATCTCCTGATCAGAGTTTTAGTCTAAAAACTGAAAGAAAGGTTTTGCAATCTAGTGCTGAAGTACAGTGTAGCTGAGTAAAAGATTAACACTGTTATTATTTCTAAAGCACTAACTTTCACACAGAGTGACCTTTTCCTTTTTTAAACTTCCAGCTGCTCTATGATTACTAAGAAAGCCTTTAAACCACATTGACTTAGCAAGCATTTATAGTGTTTCACACTTTTTGGGTGTTTCACCTTCAGTAAATGCAGACTGTTGTGGTTTTGTCCAAACACAAGGATGCTGTTAAAAGCATTTGGTATGCTTAGGAGCTTTGTTTCTGTCCTGCATGCTACATCGCCCAATACAGCATGCCAAAGGGAAGGTAATCTACAATCACCTATCAATCACTAAGTAAAAACTACAGCTTCTAGAGGCTTTCTTGACAACAAGAAAGGCAGGTAAAAACACGGAGTATGTTTTGACAACACATCTCAAAGAAGCACGGTTACCAAAGAGAAGGTAACCATTCTTTCTCCGAGCGACACTTTATGCATTTTCCAACTGCAGTAACGTACCAGAGACAGTCTCATCTCTCTACAGAGACTGGCGAGAATTTATTGTAACAGTGACTGGAAAACACACGTTCCAACTATGGCCAGTTAATGCAGATGAAGACACTGATATCCCAAAGGGACAGAAATCCACGTCATATTTTGTGAGGTTTTTGTTTGTTTTGTGGTTGTGGGTTTTTTGGGTTTTTTTTAGTGATGTGGTGATCACCCATAAGGTACTCTTCTACTTAGCATGAGGAAAATTCTTACGACTTCCTGATCCCCCAAAACATGTTGTTTTCTGCCTTTTATTACTATTCACCTCTAAGAGGAACTTCCCTCTCAAGCCATGAAAATTTAGTTTATTTTACAGCTTGTGAGGAGCTCTTATCAAGAACTTTTAAAAGACAAGCGCACAATTATGATTGTGCATATGGTTGCCAACTCCCTCAAAGAGAAATCATGCATCACATAAATCATGCTGGCTCTTCCCTAATATACACTTATCGCTGAGCCTACCAGTTCTGTTCTTCCCAATACAGACCTGCTGCCCTGCAGTAATCTGCAGAATTACTCCACGAACTTAAAAAAATACATACAAAAAATAGCATTGCTCTTGTCACTTGTCATCCTTATTGCACCAAGGCTCACTGAAATTATAAACTAGACAAACAAGTTCAATATTTGTATTGGGCAGTTCCATTAAAGCTTCTGGATTAATTCTACCAATTGGTGGTGGTCTAATTTACTGATCTGTTCTAAACCCTTTACTGACACTTCAGCTTGCAATATTTTATTCTGCCCTATGGCACGGGCCTGACTGTCTGCACTCTTCTGCAGTAAGCAGCAATGTGAAAAGACTGGGTAACAGCTCATAATAGGGTCTCAACATCAATACATGTTAGTTAAATAAAAACTGCACAAGGCTTCCACCACCCCCCAGAATGAGCTGGCGGACATGAACACCAAAGTAAAGGAAGTGGTTAGATGCAATCCTTCAGAGTTAAGAGGTTCGGTATCCCTTTCAGTGTTCAGTTTGGAACTGAAGAACAGGCACACTGGGTCAGAAGGTCCATCTGTCCCAGCCTCTGGCAGTGGCCATGAGCAGGTGAGCATAGGGCAGCAAAGCTAATACAGCTCCATACTTCCCTGCTCTTCCTCCTCCTCATCCGACTGCTCGCTAAATCTCCAATAACTTACGGCTCAGGGACTTCCTTAGCCAGAGGTGGTTTCTATGCACTGAGAAACCTTCAGTGCTTTGTTCTTCCTTGAACCTGTCTCCTTGAATTTTGTAAACTTCCAGCTTTTATAACATGCCATTTAGTTTTTGGTTTATGCCCTCTAGCTGCCTTTTTTTTTTTTTTGAGTAAGAAAACAAATCCCTATTCACAGATTTCTATTTACCTTTTGGTCTATTTAGTTTAGTCCTAACATTTAGCTGTTCCCTTCTAAAGAAGCTGTCCCACATCTTCCATCTTTATTCCCATTCTCTGAACTCTTCTTGAATCTACAATGTTATTTTTAGGTGGTGGAGGGAGAAGTCTGACAAACCTTACAGACTTTCTAAAGCATTTTAGTGTGCCAGCAGCTTCACTCCCTTTGAATTTTGATGGAGCCCATCAGTCTTACACAGGTTCCCCCTGTTTCAAAGGCTTTTCTACTTCCTAATAGATCTAGACCTCTGCCATACATAATTTTTTCAGGCATACTTTGCAATTCATCTAGCCCTGCACATGGTGTTTAGAACATTTAGAAATGGTTTCTATGGCAACCCTAATGCCCAGGTTCTGCCCTCCAGGATTTCTACCATGTCCTGTGTTATTTGTATCCATAAGCCAGCACCTCTGGTTCATCCAGGTCAGTCTCCGAGAGTCTGGCTGTCAGCACCTCTGCCCTTAGTGGTCAATTCATCAAGCAGCTGCTTCACAAATTCGGCTACTTTTTCTAATAACTGAATCTCTGTTCTTTTCCAACTATCAGGGATACCAGCCTTCAGCAGGGTACTGATGAGCAAAAGGATCATCCAAGCAGCAGGAGGCAGGAAGGGGGCAGTGTCAGACCTATTTTTGAGATCATTTCTGGCCATAAGAGTTTCCTCTCTTTTAGAAGTAGGGAGCCTGCTAGGTGGGAATGGGACCTCAAAGTGGCTCCAAAAGCCTTGTGTAGGAAGAGCCTGGGAAGACAGATTTTATGTCATCCACCCTGGCCCCACAGGACCCCCATGAGTTGTGCTCATTACCTGCGTTCCTGCACTACTTCCCCACGGAAGAGAGAAACACAGACACGGCACTCGGTGCAATGACATAGCATAATATAGATAGCTCCCAGCTATCAATCGGTTCTATCCAGCTGCCTTAAAATCAGTCTACTGAAATCCTTTCTATTGTGCTACAGCATAATGAACTTCCATGCAGCAGATTTTATCTGTTGCTGTGAGGCAGCCAGAATGCAAGCTCTGAGGTACAGCAATACAAGATGAGAAAGCAGGATCTGGATCAGGCTTGTGTGAATTTGTGTTTGTTCTGTAACCATTGTACTCTGACCTAATGAGCCTCTCCGGACAATCCCGATGCTTATCGTTCACACTGGCATGAGTTTTCTTCAGCTCCCTTAGCATTAATGGAGTGGATGACTAAGCAACCTGAGGCTTCAAGCCTAAGAAGCTGAAGCACCTGGGCTGCACTGCCTTCTGCAACAGATCAAATCTGCTGCCCCATTTTACAGTATTTTAGTAAATATATTTACAATATTTTAGTACTTGTGTGGGTTCAAATACTCCTTCAGCAGCTGCTGTACTGGGTTGATCCTAAGATTCAGCGTGTGAAGTGCTACTGGCTATGACTTGCTGGTTGGTGCAGAAGTTCCAGAGAGTAAAGAGATGATAGCATTACCATTTTTAATGCCAATGGCTGTAACCATTTCAAGGAAGTGTAAAAATTAAAAAAAAGAAATCCCATCCAAGAGCATAAGAACACAGAAGGTAGATACTGCAGGTGGCTAAAAAAGGAAAACTCTATTTTTCCTTAGTTTTCTTTGTCCTTTCTGCCTTCAGGATTCAAGTGCAGAGGGAGACAGCTACAAAGTATATGTCCTACTGGACACCGCTGTTCTTAACACATCAGACCTATTGCAAATGCGACACTCCAGCAACAGTAATGGAAAAAAGGTGGGCAAGCTCTCAGTACAGCTCAATTGAAAATACTCTCTTCAATCATCCCAAAATGACAGTATTCTACAAAAGATCATTTTCAAAGTATACTGTGGTTTCAAATATTAGAACAAAAATAATCTGTACACACAACAGTCTTTATCACCGCTTGAATTTTAAGAGTTGCAATAATACATTTTGTAAGTCTAATAGGTTGTTAGTAGTATCATACACTGCACAGCTCTTACTATTCATTTTGTGAAGCATCTATTTTATCTGCACTAGGAAGTACCCGTAGCATGTTTTCCTCATCTCTTTTGGTGTCTATATACTATTGGCTCATACAGGTTGTCCTAATTGATCATTGCAAATTTCTTAAAATTAAGCCTTTATATACCACATCATAATTGGCAATCACTTGATGACAAAAATTTAAGAATCAAAAAGTACTCTTCCTACCTACACCAGTGGCCATTTTAATTTCTTCGAAACTGAATTCATCTCCTTCATTAAACATAAGCAACACTAATGTCTGAAAGAACGACACTTGAAATTCTTTCTTTCCCTAAAAAAGAAATATCAAATAAAATATTTAGAAGTACTATTCAAAGCAGTTTCTATTGTATCCTCTAAATCTGAGAAGTTACAGAAACTATACATTCTGGTTTTTATTTCTAGAAGATGACGTGCATTTTAGAATACCTAGCACACAGAACAATCTGCCTGAATGCAGTATCAAGAAACCAGGATATATTTAAAACCTCTTTTTGCTACTCCAACAGTAGCAATACAGCACACAGGAGAAGCTCATTAGAATGGCCTTGTATTTACTTCATATCATTCACTTCATTTTGATTACAACACATGAAATTCTGGCTTTGCTGCCATCAATAGTGAACCTCTTTATAAAATGTAACTTTGGTGAAGTATGGAGATGAGCAAACTATTACAAAGGAAATCTCTGCGTTGTATCAAATATGAAAGAAACAAAAGATAACTTTGGTTTGCTGTGACGCAGAGTGACAGTATTATCAGTAGCACAATGTTTGTACAAACAGGCAATGGAAAGGAAATAAATAACTCAAACTCTTCAGACAGCTGTAAACACATCTATCAATGGACAAATACAAACCTATCCATTTCACTGTTACAGAATGCCTAAACCTCTAATTTTCATATTCACAATGAATTAGTAAAAGTATTCAATTTTTTGGGGCTCTTTGCTCTGGCTCAGTTAAGTGGCATTATTAGCAAGATATTCTATGCGACAAAACAAAACCACATTAAGAAACAATGTGGTTATTTAAGACTTAAATAATTCAAAAAGTATTTCAATTTTAACCACAGTCATTACATCACTAACACCCTTCAGTCTCTTTTTGTATCAGTGAAGCATTCTAGAAGCATCACCAGTATTTCTATGATCAATTTCATATTAAAAAGATGCTGCATTTTTTTTCATTCATTTAATGCAATCTTCTTTATTTGAATGAGCAACAGTTTCTATCGATAGAAACAAATACAAATGTTACCAAAAGGTATCACCATTGTTGTCTTCCATGAGCTAGGTAATATTTCAGTTTAATTACAAAAAGCCTCCTTTCTATACAAAATAACAGTATTGAATTTTGATTGTTCCTCCACAAAAACATTACTACCTTTATAAAAATACAATGCATGACTAGATTCCAAATAATTGACTTAAATATTATCCCAACAGGCTAAGCATTAAACAAGCAAACTTACTTCCTTAAATTCTGCCTTTAGGACAGCATGCCCTAAAGTCGTCTGCCACTGAAGCTTTCGGCCACTGTGTTTTCCTAGGTAAAAGGTTTTAAATACCTCTTGAAGCTTTATCATCTGTAAAGCAAGGAGAGAAAAGAGTTTATTAGCGTTATACCACTGCCGTGATGCCAGATGATTTCACACACGTAATTTCTTTGGTTCTCCTCAATGATGTTTCATAATAAGCGTGTTTGTGTGAAAAACTAAATCCAAAGAGCAAAATTCAGCTCTCAAGTACACTGGTACTATTATGCACAAAAGAAAGCCTCAATTCAAGTGCAGCTTAATTCCCCTGCCTGCTGCCCCCTG